TCACATATTAACACCACTTTCTCCATGTAACTGTAATAGACAACTGTGATACATCTGAACAAACAAGCACGAAGAAATTATGCCTTGAAAGGCTACTAAGACGTTCAACATTTCCTGAATAGAAGCAGAATGCTGTAATATATCATGATATAATGTCATAAAGGCTCTGATAGTAACAACATGCCATAGGGTTTCAGAGAAAAAACAGTAACTACTACTGGAAAGTGGAAAATGGTGAGGACAATAGAGGAAGGCATAGATGTTTAGAATTTGGAAGTTAGAATAAAAGTGTATATTGTACACTGGTACTTCTGTCAGATGAGCAAACTGCATGGGGAGGAATGGATGGGATTGTGGTAGGAAGAAAGATTAAGAAGATAGCCCATAGTCATATCTGAAGAGTGTTTAATGCTACAAATACATTTTGAAGCCAGGCATGGTGGCACATGCTTGTAATCCCAGCACTCAGGAGGCTAAGGCAGGAGGATCTCCATGAGTTCAAGGCCAGCCTAGGCTACATAGTGTGTCCAGGCCAGCCTGAACTACATAGCAAGACCCTGCCTCAAAAAAAAAAAAAAAAAAAAGCAGGGAACTAGTAGACTTATTAGACCTGGCTTCAAGATGAAAACCAGGATAGGAAAGTGGTGGATCAAGGTGGGATGACTAGGCTGATTTCCAAATATTACAGAACTATGGTAATCAATACAACATGGTGCTGGCATTAAGACAGACTTATAGCCCTATGATTAGAGAGTCTAGAAATAGACCTTCATATATATGGTCAAATGATTTTCAACAAGGAGGGCAAGTCCATTCAGTAGAGGAAGGGGTCTTTCTAACAGGTGGAGTAGTAAATGCTAGCTTTCACATGCAAGAAGTTGGATGCTTTCTTTGTATCATATCTAAAAATTAATTCAAAATGGATGTAAAAGAGCTAAAAAACTATAAAACTCTTAGTGGAAAAAACATACAGAAATTCATTGGGTTTCAAATGATTTCTTGAATATGATAATAAAACTACATGTACCAAAAGAAAAAAAATTGATAAATTGAATGATATCAAATTTTTTAAAAAATCAACTTCTGTATATCAAGTGATACAGAAAACAGGAAAAGAAACTCAAGAAGTAGGACAAAATATTTACAAATCATATGCATATATGACAAAGCTTACTATTCAGACTGCAGGGCCAGGGATATAGCTCAGCAGCACAAGTGCCTGCCTGGCAAGTGCAATGTCCTGAGTTCAAGTCCCAGTACCAAAAAATAATTTAAAAATCTAGACTATATAAAGAATTCCTATAATTCAATAACGAAAAAGGCAAATAACCTGATTTAAAAACAGGGAAAGGAATTGAATAGACACTTTTTCAAAGACATACAAGTGGTCAATAAACACATTTTAATGCTCAACATTACTAATCATTAGGGAAATGAAAATCAAAATCACAGTGATATCACCTTATTCCTATTAACCTGACTACTATAAAAAAAAAGTCAGTGAATATACAGAGAAATTGAAATTCTGTGCCTTGTTGGTGGAAATGCAAATGTGCAGCCACTGTAGAAAATAGTATGATGCTTCTTAATATTTAAAAGAGGAATTATCCTTAGATCCAACAATTATAATTTTGGATAATATACTAAGAAGCACTAAAAGCAGTCTCTAAGAGATATATGTGCACCCATAATCACAGCACAATAATTCACAGTAACCAAAGGACAGAAGCAACCCAAATGTCTGATGTTGTATATGATACGATGTATTCAGTTTGTGAAAGAAAGGAAATCCTGTCACATACTACAATGTGGATGAAACATGAAGACATATTAAGTGAAAAAGACAAGTACTGTATCATTCCATTTATACGAGGAACCTAGAATAGTCAAAATTCATGGAGACAGAAAGTAGAATGGTGGTTGCCAGGGCCTGGGAGAAACAAAGAATGAGAAGTCATCACTTACTGTTTAGAGCATTTCAGTTTTGCATGATGAAGAGAAACCTGGAGATGGAGAGTGATGGTAGTTGCATAGTGTTAATGTTCTGTCACTACTATCAATGCAAAATGACTAAGATGATATATTTTATGTCTTATTATGATATAATTTAAAAAGTGAATAAAGAGGATTACTAGGAAAAGTGAGGTACTGGTACCCAGCATAGAGCGAGCTGAAACTTGTGAAGTCACAGTAGAAATAAAAAGTTGCAAATGAATGCAAACTACAGAAACTTTAAAAGAAGATTCAATAGGATATTATGAAGAGGTAAGACTAAGAAACTATTACTCTCAATTTTATTCTCTTTTAAGTCCAAAGTAACTCTGAAGTTTCTACCTTTCTGCCTCTATATCACCAGGAGTAAAGTTCAGAAAAAGAGCAAATCTGAAAGTAGGCAGAATAACATGCTAATATGCTAATATCCTGTTTTTGAAAGCCAAAGCCAAACACTTGAATCCTGACTAAAGTTTATTTAACTGGGTGGTAAAGACAATTCGTAGTATTGGTTTTAGTTTTCCCATCTCTGAAAGCAGCTGGCTATGATCTCTATGAATGGAGCTCTCTGGAGTTGTGTAGCAAAAGAAGTAGCTCTAGCTATGTAAAGATGCTTTCATCTAAAACAAGGCTCAAAACAAAATGGCTTACAAAATAATATGAATTATCTCATCTAGCAAAATGTCCAGAGGCAATGTGGTTCCAAGGTTAATTAATTGGATGGTTCATGTCATCAAGAAACACAGTTCTATCGAGAACATATAAAAAACTTTAAAAAATCAGACCTCTCAGATTTAAAGACCCAGTCCAAAAATGGTCATGATGAGTACATACTTCTCAGGTAGAGAAATACAAACAGCAAATAAATATATGAAAAATGTTCAACATCACTGGTCATTCAAGAGCTGCAAATGAAAACAACACTGAGATTCCATCCCACCCCAGAAAGAATTGCCACTATCAAGAAATCAACCACTAACAAACGCTGGCAGGGTTGTGAGGAAAAAGGAACCCTACTCCACTGTTGGTGGGAGTGTAGACTGGTGCAACCACTGTGGAATTCAGTGTGGAGATTCCTCAAAAATTAATGAGTAGGGGTCCTATTTGCCCCAATCTGGCCACTTCCCTACTTCCCAGAAGAATTAAAAATATCATACCACAGAAATATATGTGCATCCATGTTTGTAGCAGCACAATTTGTAATAGCTAGATCTTGGAAATAACCCAAATGCCCATCAACCTAGGAATGGCTAAAAATGATGTGGCCTTTTATACAATGGAGTACTACTCAGCCATAAAGAAGGATAAACTCGAGACTTTCATAGGCAAATGGATGCAACTGGAGACCATATTTATAAGTGAAATAAATAAGACTCACATGTGTAAAAATTGTATCATCTCCTTAATGTGAGAAGCTGAAAGAGTAACTAAGATCCAAAATATATAATAGACATTGTAAAATGGGAAGAAACTATTCAAAAGGAACTAGAAACTGGGATGAGGGAAAGGAGAAAAGAAGGAAGAGAAAAGAAAAGAAAAAAATATATATATATACACACACAAGATAGTAAAGATAGTTATACTACTAATTTCTCTTAGTTACTGAAAAGAAAGGGTTGTGCTAATATTGTTTGGACAATTAAATGCTTATATCTTGTACTTTGAGTAACTAAATATAACACTATAGGATGTATTAACATTGTTACTTTCCTATTACCTTGTTTTGAAATTTTATTTATTTTTTCCCTTGAAAATAAAATTTAAAAAAAAGAAACCAAGTTCTTTCCGTCTTTTCCCCTTGCATTACGTCCATTCTCAGCTACCTTTCTCTCTCTCGGGTTTGACTTCGTGCAGTGAATGACGGCATAGTAGCTTCATGGCCTTTCAGATCCATCTCCAAAGACAAGGGAGTATGTCCCCTTTTATGGGACATATGACATAAATTCTCTTCTAGGCAATTCTCCAGAAGTCTCCCGGAAGATTTTTCCTCATGTGCCACTACCCAGAATTGTATCATATGCCACCTTTGAGCAATCCCTCTCAAGAAGAATTGAATTACCATAGTTTGCTTACTAAGCAAAATTTCTTCCTGAATCAACATCTAAAAAAAAAAAAAAACTAGAGAAAAGGAAGAAATGTGAGATAATTACAGGCAAGGCAATTAAAATGTCTCCCATTCTGCAATATATATGTACAATGAAAAAGCTATTTAACCAAAGTGACATAATACAGATGAAAGTAATCCACATCTCAATTATGGTATAATGTCATATATCAATTTTAATCATTAATATTTTTACCAGTTATATCTATGAGTTAAATTTACCATATTTGGTTGTGACACTTTAAATGTTAAAAAGGTAAATAATGCACATTTGTTGCAGATATATTAAAAGAGATAAAGCAACAAGATGCTAAAGTCTTCCAAATTTCTACCAAAACAAGGAAAAAGTTAATATTTAAATAGATATACCTTCAGAATTTTCTCCATTCTAAGTGCATTAAATATATTTAACAGACATACAGTAATTTGTACTATAACTAGCTATTTCACTTAACTTACCAATATTTAAATAGATTTATGATAATTTTTAATGTCTGCATAGGATCTACACTTGTTTCAAGTCACTTTTCTATTTAAAATAATTGAGATTTGGCACATCAAAGACAGAAAAATGTACTGCAAATGTTAAATGCAGTACTGGAGCAATTACAAAAATAGGATTCTGAGAATGGGGGAATCAGCACAGTTCAATTTAGAGCCTGTCAAGGGCTGCTGGTCTCCACACACTTGTGTTGTGTATATTGCCTCCCTAGTGTTTGGTGCCCTACTGCAGGCAATGGGCTTCTCCTGTACCTCAGATCAAGATCTATTCCGAAATGGTTAGAAGTTTTAATTCTCTTTTATTACTCACTATTGAATTCTGCAAAACTCAACCATAACTGCTGACATACAGCTATTTTTTACTCAAGGGTATAATGAGTATATTCTGGGAGAATAAGGGTGTTCACAGAAATCCATCTTAATGGTTAGGTTTTGAAGTTTTCTTTTTAATTAAAAAAATTAAAGAGTGAACTACATAAGGTTTATAGTATACTCCATACTGCTTTCTTGTAGGGACCTGGTGAGAACAACACAATTCTCAGCTACCTTGTAGCTGAGAACAACGCAAATGATCTTGTGCATAGCTGGAGTGGAGAAGCTACAAAAAGAGGATTCAGATACTGTTTTGCTACTTCTACACACTGGATTTACATGCTAAAATGCAGACTTGCTTTCAGCGAAGGTCCAGGAGATACAATGTAGGTTTTCCTTTAAATAAGGATTTAGTCAGCTCCTTATCTACCACACTGCCAAATACTGCTTTTATTACTCAGTAAATACCAGCCCCAGTAATACCTAAGAACTTGCAGTATTTTCCATGAACCTGCATATTCCTGAGCATTTTTCTTAGCAATATCAGTATTCTGAAGTAACTAGAGCAAATGCCAATACTGTATCGCCTGAATATCACCAGCTAAAAATAAAGTTTGGGGGCAGTTTTAATAGTTCCTACAAAGCAGATAGGGTTGCACATGTCTATATTACATAAAAATGATAAGAAGGCAAACTCAAGTAGAAGGTGCTTATATGATTAGAAAAATTGCCTAACACTTTTAAAAATTCAAAATTTTTGGCTTATGAAAAATAAACCAAATATTGAACATGGTTTGGAGGTAGGGCTGCTGGTAGGGGATGTAAACTGGTACAGACTACCTGGCAAGGAAACTAAGTGTGTGTGTACCTAACGATGTAGGGATTCTCCCCTATGTATAGGTCCTAGAGAAAATCTTAGCACCATATATTAGTTATCTATTGTTGTGTAACAAATTACTCAAAACTGAGTTGTTTAAAATAACAACTAACAAATGTCATAGTTTCTGTTGGGTCATAAGTTGTAGCATAGCCAAGTAGCTCCAGCTCAGGATTTCAGGCTGCAGACAAGATGCTGGCTGGGGCTTCAGTCACCTGAATGTTTAACGTTGGCTGAAGGATACACTTCTAAGGTGCTTCAGTCTTGGCTGGTAAATTGTGGCTAGCTACTGGCTGCTCCAAAGGGCCGCTAGAATGTCCTTACAGTATAGTGTTTGGCTTTATTGGAGTAGATGGGCCAAGAGAACAAGGTGGAAGCAACAGTGTATTGGATAGGGGCCTCGTCTAGGGATTTGCACGCCATCACTACCATACAATGTTGGTCACACAGACTAACACAGTATGGAAAAATTTTAAACAAGGACATGAAATCAGAATGCAGGGAACTTTGGGATCAGTCTTGGAAACTGGCTCCATACCAAGGTTCATGCATTACAGTAGTCATAGAAGCATTATTGCAGGGACAGAGTTCCAGACAACTTAGGTGTTCACTCCTACAGAAATTTGTAAATAAAAAGTGCTATTTCCCTGTGATGGAATACCCTGCAGCAACCAAAAGAAACACAGTTTTCAAGTCAGAGGAAACAGAAACAATAAAAAAGAGTAGGATTTACAGTGTAATGCAAATAAGTTAAAAAGAAAAAAAAAAACAAACACTGTGTAGGCCTAGGAGAGTGGAAGTGCACATCTGTAATCCCAGCACGCAGGAGGCTCAGGCAGGAGGATTGTGAGTTCAAGACCAGCTTGGGTTACACAGTGAGTTTGAGGCCTACTTGGAATACTTAGCAAGACCCTGTTAACAGACAAATAAACAAATGAACAAACAAACACATACCAAAATCAAAACAATACAAAAAGAGCTCTCTGTGTACGTGGAGATTTTCTTCACCCTATATATTTCACATATTGCTAAATAAATACAGTATATAAAAGCTTAGCTGAAGAGACATACTAGAAGTGGTTACATGTTACAGAAAGGGAAGAAACAAATGGGGTCTTTATAAGAATAATGCAAAGATATGCCACGAATTGAGGATAAGAACTATTTGCCTCACTTAGTTGAGGTTTAAGAAAACTGTTTTTCCCAGCAGAGTTGTGATGGGGCCCAAGGATATCTAAGAGATTTTATTAAAGCAAGATTCCTTAGCAGATAAAGAATAGGGTTCTACTTATTTCTCTATGTGTATTATTTTTATGAATCTCATCATTGTGAGAGGGAATTTCAGTTCTACTAAAATACCTCCCTCATCTCGTAATTGGATTGAAGTTGTTTAAAAGAACAAAAACATCTTCCATTTTTCAAATGGAGTTATTGAAACCGCAAACAATGTTTAGAGAAACAGCCTACAAACTGAATTTATCGTAAGAGGAAAATGATTCCCATCAGATTTCCTTGTTGAGGACATGTTTAACAGCACACAGCTAAAGGGACGGGGTTCTGGATTTCTTGAAAGGTTATGGGGATATACTGGACCCAAAGGAGGTGCACAGATGGGCGCACTAAGATAACAAGGACAGGTAAGATCCTTCACGATTTTGGTTAAAATTAGCGCTTTTAACAAATTGTATTTTGAGGTTGAAAAAAGAAAAAGATTATCTTGCATTCATAGTAATCAATTTCTTTTGAGTTTAAGGTGAATCTATACATTTTCATCTGTTTAATTTTCTCTGTGGTTAACAATTTGATAAGTATTAATTTACTGGTCACATATTGTTTCACAATGATGGTTATTTCCTGCCTATAATAGCAGTGGATTTCTTGATTAATTAAATTTGATTAGTCATTACTTGAATGATAGAGAGTAGGCTAATTTTTTATAATTTAAGTGTATTTAGAACTAAAATGGAGACGGTTCAGACAAAAGCTTGATTCACCGTACAGTATGTGGTGTGTACTTGTAATTCCGTGATTTTTAAGGTTAGGAGAACCTTTCATGTTTGAGAAGAACGGCGACACTGGTTTCACTGAGCATGCGCCCAGCTGTTGGCACTGAGTGCACCGAGTCACTTGCGCAGCAAGAGACCCACTACGTGTGGTAACTGCTGTCTCCCATCGGCAGCCCTTGCGTCATCTGCTGCCTCGGCTGAGCTACAGGGAGGACACCGGGCCAGAGGCGCCAACATTCACCGCGCTGACCTTCTTTTCAGGAGTGCCTTATTCATTTGAAAGGAAAACTATTATTCCTGGAAAATTGTTTTTGTGAGCATAAGTATTTCTTCTTTTATGAGATTCCCCAAAACCAGCATGTTCTCATCAATCCCCTTATAGATTCTAATATAAACTAATGCCAGCAAGTTTCACCCATAAAGCAAAAAACTAGTGAAGAAAAAACCCCTGTTCTGCATGTGACAGTTCTCTAAAAGTAAAAACCAGACACTTTCCTCACAGTGCTACCTTGTTCCCTGCTCCACATGGTTTTTTTCTTCTTTTTTTTCTTTTTTGTTTTTTTTTCCCCCTGTACCGGGAATCGAATTCACGACCTTGTGCTTGCCAGGCAGGCGCTGTGCCGCTGAGCTAAATCCCCAGCCCCTTACATGGTTTTTTTGATTAAGCACCAGCTCCCTTACAGCATACCACAATATTTGCTTAACACACAGACATATTTACATAATAACACCTGACCTTCAGACAAGTCTTCACAAATTATTTAGGGAGGCTGGAAAATATTAGTGATTTTGAAGCATTGTAAAGCACTGAAATATTTTCTTCAAAACCTTCTATTCTCCTTTCAATATTAAAAGCAGTGGATAGGGCTGCTGGGAGGGGATGTAGCTGTTTTAGGGCAGTTGCCTAGCACGATTGAGGCCTTGGGGTCAATCTCCAGTACTAAAACCAAACAAGCAGCAGTGGACATTAGCTAAGGTCTATTTCATGAGTCTGTAAGCTCATGAAGATAGGCTTGTATTGCTCACCATTGATTCCCTGACATCTAGCAGAGGGCCAAGGAAGGATTAAAGTATATTTTTTGAATGACTGAATTTATATTTCATCATTTATTAGAGTAATTTATATGACCATTTATAACACTCTTTTCTACTATCAGTTTCTTACTGACAACTGGGTTATATGTCTAACAATGTTTACTTGTTCTCATATAAAGAAATGACCTTAAAAATGTATTCCAAGTCAGGCCTGGTGGCACATGCCTATAATTCTAGCACAATGGGAGGCTGAGGTATGAGGACTGTGAGTTCAAGTCCAGTGTGGGCAACTTAGTGATTTAGCAAAGCCCTACCTCAAAAATAAAAAATAAACAAAGGGCTGGGGCTATGGCTTGGTGTGAAGGACCTTGGTTCAAATACCAGTGTTGCAAAAAAAAAAAAAAAAACCAACAACCACCAGTATTTCAATATTTTCACCATGGAAAATGTGGAAATATGAAAACGAAGTCCAGAGAAGTTCTCAGCTCAGGACTTTACTTAAACCTACCAGCTACCTCCTCACTCAGCTTTCTTGAACCACATTGACATGCTGCTCTTACTTTAGAAATCTAAAATCAAACTTAAGTTACCTGGAATTAAGAAAGTATGTATTTTCAGGTTAAGAAAAACTAAAAAACTAATTTGTAAAAGTCTTTTATTGTATCCGTGCCACACATAGTAGTGAAAAATAACACTCTTAAAAAAGAATGCTATCTCTTTCACAACATTTTATTTTAAATAAAACTTCCAAGTACTCTTACATAGGTACAAAAAAAAATTCTGATCTATTTGCCTCCAACAGGCCGCCACAACACACAGTAGATAAAACACAGTGGTTACAAATGTCTTTTAAATTTATTTCTGAGGCAAGGCAAATGGGAGGGAAATGTCTCTATGAAAAAATACTGTGTGTGTAGGAAATTGTCACGATTTTATTCCACATGGATACAAATGATTATACTTTAATTTAGGCCCTGGTGGCTTAAAATTATATAACAAAATAGAAAAATGGAAAACTAACATCCCCTACACCCTGTTTCAAAGGCAGGCACTACCAAGATTAAGGAGACGCCACAGTGCTGGTAGAGGATAATTACTGTACAAGATGTATAGTTGTAATTACCTTCAGACTAAAATAAAATGCTACAGTCCTTCTAAGGCATAAACAATAATGTCTGCAAATAATATATACACATAGTACATATTTAAAACAAGACTTAATATAAACAAGAATGAACAGTATATACATGTCAATTTTTTCACTGTTTTGAAATACAATTTAACTACACAAGTGATGCAGCAACATATATATATATATATAAATGTACTTGAAACTCTACAGTAAAGTTTATTTTTGGTGCTTTTATAGCACATCAGTGTAAACAGTTTAACTTGGCTTTGTTTTATATTTTAAAACATTCCTTGTTGTATTTTCAAGATTTAAAGCAATTTTCTAGTTCTTCCTTTTCACAGAAAACGAAGATTCTGGGTGTGGTTTAATCATAAATAATTCATAAAATTAAATACATTCACTAAAAAATAAACTACAAAGTAAAAAAATGAAAAATAGATATTTATTGAGAGGGAAAGGAGAACCATTTCCCATATTAGAGCTCTGGTGTTGAATATTCAGTGCGATTTGATATATTTTAATTGCTATTGCACTATAACACCCTTTCCTTTGAAAATTCTTTGGGTGTGCTTCCCTGTTCTACCTAAATTAGCTGATAAATCACACAAACCAATAACCAAGGGTCTTGGTTGTCATAGGAGTGAAGCCTTTAAAAATGGTATCATTCTTCTGATACTTTTGATACTTATTTTAAGGAAAAAAGTCATTATGTGTGTGCCTTGCACATTTATGTAAATACAGTTCACATTGCTGGTCTCATTTGTCCTTGTTTAAAAGGGGAAAAAAAGATTATTATAACTTCAGCTCACTTTGAAAGTATCTGTCCACTTTTTTTCAAAATACTTCCTCATACTGTGGCCAGCTCGGCCTATATCTGAATCATCTTCATTAAATGTTTCACAGTTGTCAAAAACGAGCCTGACATCTACAGCAAAGGTTTCAAGGTTTGGGTATCTGAAAGAAAACATACAATTAGAGATTGGCTTCATTGGTTTTGTTTTGTAAACAAATGAAGAGGTAATAAAAGGTAAAATAAAAAGTAAAGCTAAAGGAAAAAAATAAAAATATTAGACTACATGTAAACTGACATAAAACATATACTCTTATGAATATAACATTTAAAAATTTTTCTCATGTTTTGAGTTATGGACAATACTAGGTTTAAGGACAGGTTAAATGGAACAAGAAATTTCTCTGAAATGATGATATTTTTCAACTAACTGGCATTTACTCTACATCCTATTTCCTTTTGACCTGTATAAAAATTCTGTTACAGAAATCCTCCCATTTGACTAGTTTATTAACTCTGCTGACCAATACTATCACTTGTTTTCTACATGCAACAGTGTTCAAAATAATGTAAATGCATCTTGCACTACAAAAATTACATTTTCCACAAGCTTATATATATATATATATATATACATATATATCCCTCCCATGATACGCTACTCTATTAAATCTTCTCCACTTCTCTTTTTAAATATAGCCTTTTGCTGAAGCACTGGAACAGAGGAGGAGTCTCCTCTTGTCCATGGTATCATCTACCCATGGTAAGAAATATTAAGTGGGAAATTCCAGAAAAAGAGGGGAGGGGAAAGGGAGAGAGGAAGAGGGACAGAGACAGAGACAGAGACAGAGAAAGAGAGAGACAGACAGAGACACTGAGACAGAAAGAAATACTATTCATGTAACTTTCATTACAGTATATTGTTGTAACTGCTCTATTTTAGTTATTATTGTTAATCTCTTACTATATCTAATATTTAAAAGTTAAATTTTATCATAGATGTGTATGTACAGACTATATATATATAGTTTGGTGGTACAGTACTACCCATGCTTTGGGGTTTGGATTTTGTAAATTGAAATGTATTTCCTGCAGGTAAGGGGAAAACTGACTGTATGATGACAAGCAAAAAGAGCATGCACTCTCCTTTTAGCACACGTGACACTATGGGGACTGCTTTTCAAGAAAGAAGTCTTCTGGCTTTAGTGCTTTTCTGGTGGGATAAGCCCAATTCTTTCTCTGCCAGAACGCTGAGATGAGAACAGAAGAGTGAATGAATCTGTTTAAGCTAATAAAAGGAGAGGTCATTCCAAGCCAACTCAAGCAATTCAATACATGTTGAAAGAAGTCTTTTGAAATTCAAATTTTAAGTTAATTCTGACCTATGACACACTGGGTACTAAAATAATAATAACTAGTAGAAATATCCCAAAAGATAGTGAAACTCTGAGATCTTGTGAAAGCGTCTTTGGTAAAATACCTTGTACAGTCTTTCAGTCCCACTTGGTATGTATAATACTGAAGGAAACAAAATTTCTCTATCTCTGATATGTTAATGAAAACTTAAGTCAGTCCTTACATAAACTCATTTTCCTGTTCTGGCGATTATTTATTTTTTATTAAGATGAAATTCATACAACATGTTAGTCATTTTAAAGTGGATAATTCAGTAGCATTTAACAATCACACCATCACTTCTATTTCCAAAACACTGTCACCACTCCAAAAGGAAACATTATGTTCATTAACAGTTATTCTCCATTTCTCCCTTCCCGCAGCCCTTGGCAAGCACCAACCTAGGAGTCTTTATGGATTTATCTAATCTGCATATTTTATATCAATGGGACTCGTTCAATATGTGTGGGGATTATTTTTTAAAAAATTTTAAAGTTATTTTGAGGACTATTCCTCTCTTTGTATTGTTCCTTAAAGTAAGAGAAGATTAATCCGTACAAGGATCAAGGAGAGAATTTTAGGTAAAATAAATATAACACTCAAAAGCCTTTCCTTTGTAGAAGGACAGGAAAGCTAATAGAACCCAGAAAGACTCATTAAAGTATTTCCTTCTCTCTGTTCTATAAATATAGTCTAGAAGCTTGAAATATTATTTGTGAGTTTTGGTTCCAAGTCAGTAGTCTGTGTTTAATCAAACAACTTCGAGTCAGGAGCCCACATGCATGGCTGGCATCACACACAGGATTATATTGAGTGTTTTCCTCTCTCTGCCTCCTCTACTGTGAAATTCTCCATTCACCAGGACTCATTCTCAAAGGGAGCACTGATTTTATAGCCTCTTTGGTTATTTAGTGTTAATTTCTAAGCCTGTATTGGGGATTTTGAGTTTCAGGTTTTTACTCTACCCACAAATTAGAGGATCATGGAAATTAAAATTATGAGTTAATTAAACACTGGGAAAGTCTTTGTGTGTAGGTTTGTGGCCATGTTGATTATAAATTCCAATGTACTGCCCATTTAGATATCTGCCTTTTAAAAATGTATTGGAACATGTTTCTAGTACATAGTGATTACATTCCTCATGGGAGGTGGTACATGTACACAACATATCTTAATTCTTTTTTGTCCCCTTCCCCTCTACCTCCTTATCTCTTGGTCCCTCTTTTCTTTTCCAAAAGATCTATTTCCTTATTTACTATTATCTATCTTTTATTTTGTTCTTTACTTGTATTTGGGCTTCTTGCATAAAAGAAACCATGTAGTATTTAAGCCTGTGGGTCTATTTATTTCACTTAACAATATAGTTTTAGGGTACATCCATATTCCTTCAAATGACTAAGTTTATCCTTATTTATGGCACAGTAGTACTCCACTGTTTATAAATACAAATTCTCTTTATTCATCTGTTAAAGACACACACACACACACACACACACACACACACACACTCACACACATATATATAAAATCTTCCAAGATTTATGTAGAGACTATGAGAGATATGCTGCTATGGGCATAGAAAGTATTTGCCCTTTTGACAGAAAAAGCAAAACAAGTAGTCCATATCTAGATAACAGCTTCTGTGCTTAGATTCACATTAGAACCAACAGTTGATGGTTTTCAATGTTCCCTGTGGGTATGTCCTTTCTGTAATTGTAAAACCAAACCAAATCAAAGCAAACCAAAACCAACAAGAAAAAGTAGAAAGGATCATTTGAAAGACAGTTATTTAACCTCCAGAGAAATAAACTGCCAAAGTCAATCTAGTAAATTATTTGATATAAGAGAAATATTGACCATTATGAGATAAATTGAAATTGAAAGTAAGTCATAAAGCAAATGATGTCACCAAAGAAAACACTCAGAAAAAACTAAATGAAGTAACAACAGCAAAACAATACAATTAAAATATATTGTAGAGTTATTATTTCAATGTACAGTTCCTTCTTTCTGCATATATTTTTTTTTCTTGTTTTGTTTTGTTTTTATTTCGGTACTGGGAATTGAACTCACGGCCTTGCGCTTACCAGGCAGGCGCTGTGCTGCTGAGCTAAATTCCCAGCCCTCTGCATATTTTTTGGACTTTGAAGTAATGGGAATTGTTTGCTTTGAGTTATGTAAGTTTATGGGAATAAAGGAAGCAGTGGAAGGATGGAGAAGAGATCTTGACCACTCTCATGTGGAATGTCTTGTACAGGTTTGTTTTACAAGAGAATCTTTGTGGCTCCAAAATGGGCTGCTGCCCTGAACATTCTCTAGTGGTTGTTACTCTCTGGCAGCAGTTCGAAGTAGTCTAAGAAAGGTCATGAACTGTGGCCAGGAAGTCACTTTACTCTTGAGATACTATCATAAGCAGAACACGGTAGATGGAATAAGTGTTTGCTTCTATGTGTAATAAATGGATTTTTAGTATTGCTCAACAACTCATAATGAAGCTTTTAATTTTTAAAATTTTTAATGATCTTTTTCATTTCAATAATCTAAAAATACTAGAAGTCAATTTTGTTAAATCCACTTCAAGTGTTGTCAATATTCTATGTTACTTACTTTGAGAGGTTCCCTATGTACTTGCCTGCACCCATCCAACCCAGCCTGGAATTGATGGTGTTCTCATGTCATATTGCTTTTTAAAATTTTTTCAGTAATTTTAATCGACTTGCCTTCCATATCTCACCACCCTAACCCAACACATACATACATACCTCTCCAAAGTGTAGTGTGTGTGTTTGTTCTTAATTAATACGTCTTTGGTTCACTGGAAAAATGCCCAGTACATACCAGGCTTTCAATGAATATTAATTGAACTGAAATTATTTACTTACTGTCCATTACTTAGTTTCTCTCTAATTGTGGAAAAATCCATGGGTTTCTTAATAACTTTCTTATAACCAGGTACAAGTTTCAAGTTTACAGGAAGTAGAAAAGGCCATGCATCCTCATGAGTTTCCATTTCAGTCAGGATCATGCTAAAGAAAGTAATGTTTTAAATCAGTACTTTAGCATTGTATATTATTATTAAAAAATAAGCTTCCATGTAAAAATGCAATGCAAATGTATTTTCAAAGTTAGAGGAATACATTTACTTTGCATTTTTCTTTTTACACAAATTGTCAAAAAGTAATCTTTAATATGGGAAGTGGGATGTTATAAATATATAGTACATAAAAACTGAGATAATACCTGCAAAGAGTTAGGTCTTTAGTGTCATCTCTTTTAGATTTCTTAACAGAAGTGAAACTTTCTTGTTTTGATACATTGATAGAAGTGTTTTCCTCCATTTTTCTTTTTTTGAGGTCTTTGTTTCCTCTTTTTAGTGAACTACTTGTGGACGCAGAGTCTTCATCTTCAGTATCCCCTGCTAAAGTTACTTTTTTGCCTTTCTTTGACTCATTAGTCTTTTTGCCTTTGACATGAAGTTTTTTGATTTTTATAGTCTGTCCACTTGCCTTTAATTTAAAAGAAGAGTAAATGAAGTATAAGAAAATAACCTTCTACTATTTTAAATTGTGAAAGTTTGATAAGACAAAAAAATTAGCTCTCATTTAGGTTGATAATTCTATTACTGTCATGAAAGATCTGTGACTTTCTTCTATAACATAAGGCTAAAACCTAGTAGTGCATGAAATATTTACCTTAAGAATTCTTAAAAACTTGCCAGGCATTGTGGCACACATCCATAACCCTAGCACTCAGGAGGCTGAGGCAAGGGGATTTCCATAAGTTGAAGGTAGCCTGGCTACACAGTGAGTTCAAGGTAAGCCTGAGCTACACAGCAAGATCCTGGCTCAAAAAACCAAAAAGAATTCTTAAAAGTTGAAGATATTGATCCATCTTTGGTACTAAAGAACTTATCACCAGTATTCTTTTAGTCTAGGTCACTAAAGAGAATGAGATTAAAGAACAAAAGAACTCCTTTAAAGTACAACATCATTAAGGACAAAGGTGAATATAACAAAGTAGTTTATTAATAAGAAAGTTGAATACATAACAAAAAGCTAGACCAAAACATGAAGAGCTCATTAAGTATCAAACAGAAAACTCCTTTTTTTAAAGTGATGAAATCTATTTGAAATCGATCTCTTTTTTCTGGATAAATAATGAAAGGTATATGCATTGAGAATAGAGTTCTACAAACTTTGTTTTAAAGTAATGGTGAAAGATGGGAAAAGCAAGTCTGTTTTGGAGAAAAAGAATATGGAAACAAATAGAATAAAATATAGTATATGCAGAATCAAATGATATGAATTTCAGTTATGGTTCTGTTACTAACTAGCTGTGTAACTTTGAGCAAAACATGTCTTAGAGGTGCTGGTACCTTATTTGTAAATTAAGAGGAGCCACATATTTGCTGAAGTTGTTCTAGTGCTACAATTACATGATTAAAAAAAATCTTAATGTGGCCTTACGC